GTGTTCTTGGCTCTGTTCTAAGTTTGTTCTAAGGGTCTTCTAACATTCTCAATGAGTGCTCATTGCTGTTCAATGGTTGATGTGGGTGTTCAAAAGTGGCCAGAGTGTTCAGCTGTTCAAATTGCTTTAGGTGTTCTTAAATGTTCAACACCTACACACCCTCCAAGCGTATTAATGTATCAATTACCTAGTCAGGTGAAGTGAAATAATATGAATATAAACACACTAACACGTGTATTTACTTCTCTCTCTCTCTCTATTTTCTATCCATCGATTTCTCTCCCTCTACACACACACACACACACACACACACACACAGACACACACACACACACGCAACACACACACACACACACACACACATATGTATATATAGTTTTAATTAAAGGTATTGTTATAGAGATACATGAGTATGTGTTTGCCTATCACGACATAAGAATGTTCAAAGACATTCTAAACATTCAAATTTCCTATGAGTGTAATCTTTAAGCCGCTGTTTGTCAAAATATCTCATTACTGATCGTGTCAAATATCCGTTGCTTTATTTCATTTCCTTCAAAAAAAATCCTGCTATAAAAAAACCCTCTTGAAAATCCACAATACTATACAATATTCACCTCAAAGACACTCAGACCTATAAAATAAAAGGCTTAATTACCATCACATACATCAAACTCCCCTTTCACTACACACCATAACGTATCATCCAGAGATTTATCCAAATACATCAATTCGGGACAGAATCTACACATAATAATTCATTGAGTGAAATGTGATCTTATACATTCAGCTCGTTAGGGAGCCGCCTTGTTACGTCTCCCTAAATGGTCGTAACGAGGTCATTTGCTCGTTCGGTCGTCATCGCTAATTACCTGTGAAGAGGGATGGTCATTTGTGTTGTTTCTTGTTTCGCCTCTTATTGTTTATCTCAAAATATGTTCCCTTTTGTGTCTATTTACTGTTTATGTTAACTCTCAACGACGCAAAACTTTGTTGATAACAAATCTACTAACACCCCTATTTATTTTTACACACACACACACACACACACACACACACACACACACACACACACACACACACACACACACAACACACACATATATATATATATATATATATATATATATATATTATATATATACAAGTATAATACATATACATATATATATTGTATAGATATGCATATACATAATATATATAATATATATATATATATATATATATATATATATATATGCACTTATACATTTCTTGTATTTTGGTAGCCTTCAACTTGAAAACAAGATTAAATACAAAGACATATTTCACAAACCGGCCAATTGATTTAGCAGTTCTATCTGTGTCAGCAACATGGGAAAGCTAAATCAACATCTGACCGGTAACCACTGGAACATAGTTCATTGTCTTTCGCAGTTACTGTAGATGTGGTGAATGTGCTTTGTTCAAGGACAGCAGCTCCTCGACATAAGGCTGACAATCACTAAGAAGTAAAAAAAAAAAAAGGAAAAGTTATTTTTGAACTGTTCTTAGTGTCGTCCTTTGGCTACCATACCTCCCCCCTTTTTTTTTGCCTCACACTCACTAAGTACAAAATATATATATATATATATATATATATATATATATATATATATATATATATATATATATATGGGTCTTTCCATCGTGCCCAGGGGTTCAAACTATTATCTCTATCTATCTATCCATATACCCATGTTTACATCTATATATATTTATGTATTGTATATACAGATAGATAAACAGATATGAATATATTAAAACATGAGTGAAGGGGTGTTTTCTATGTATGTATGTGTTATGTGCGAGCTCAAGTGTGTGATTATCATCATCATTATTGTTTTAATGATCATTATTATTTT